TTTCAATTCATTAGTTTTAAATTTTTCTCTTTTAACTTTTTTTGTTTTCTTTTTTTTATCAACTTTTTCAGTTAATACCAAAGAACTATTTTGTTCTTCTTCATTAACTTGTTCAAAATTTCTTTTTGACATTTTTTTTTTTTGAATTGTTACATATTTAAAAATCTAATCGGTATTGAATATACTGATTAGAAATAGATATTTACTATCTTATAAATAAAAATAACAATAAAAATAAATAAAACTTTAAAATATCTATCATATTTGATATGAAATACATGAGAAAATATCATTGAAATTATTTTTTCTACTACTTGTTCAAATTCAAGATCTGTTGTATCAATCTTGATAGATACTTTCTCTGCTTCATGAATAAAGGAAGAAGCTTTCTTGTCTCTATCCATCATATCACTTAACACTTTTCCTATTTCAAAATAACTATTTTGCTCATCTGATAAATTTAATTGATTTTTTCTTCTTTCAAGACGTTTAGCAAAATCTGCTTTCAATACTATTTTTAAATCAGCATCAGGTAATATATTTGTTGTAGCATCTCTACCAACAACAATATATCCTTTTTCTTGTGTCATTTCTCGTATGATATTGTTGATTTCTTGTCTAAGCTCATTATATTTTGCAATCTCAGAAGCTCGTTTTCCATATTTCAAAAAATCTTCACTACTAAGATCAAACAAACTATTTAATTTTTTTAAATATTTCTTTGGTTCATCAATAATTTCTTGTTTCAAATCTTTTACTCTTTCAACTAGTTCCTCATTTGTAAATCGATAAAAGATCTTTGCAAAATATCGGTAGAAAAGTCCACTATCAATAAATCCATAACCAAGTTTTTCTGCTACTTCTTGTCCAACAGAAGTTTTCCCTGTAGCTGTTAAACCATCAATTGCAATAACGAATCGAGTCATACTTACACTATTAAAATTCTAGTCTGTACATTTTGTACTAACTAGAATAAATAATTATTTTAAACTAATTTTGTATTTTAACAAAATAGAAGCTGATACTAATCGTTGAATTTTCAAATCTGAATCAATTGTATTAATATCGTAAAGATTGATTTTGTATATATCAAATAAATAATTATATTTGTTTAAATATAACTGAGCTTGTTTTTTCAAAAGTAAATTTTTCATATACAAAGAACAAATCTTTTTATGTTCAATAAGAAAATTATCCATTTTGATTTTTTTTTAAAAATATCGTTTAAAAAAAAAATTACTAACAATAAACGAAAAATATTGTGAACTTCATTAAATAATATTTACATCAATAAATTCTTATCTGGTATTATTCATACTAGATAAGATTAATTCATATATTTTAGTTCAAATAATTCAAGAGCTAATGGATTATTAGGTTTATATAATCCAATTTTCTGTTCTAATATTGTAGAAGCTATAAGTAATTGATAAATTTTTAAATTAGAATCAACTTTTTCAATATCATGAATATAAATTTTATATCTTTTGAATAGACTAAAATATCTTATAAAAAAAATTTGCATTAAACCACATGAAAGTAATTTATCTTCGTATAAATCAATAATCATTTTTAAATCAAAAGAAAATTGATCTTTAAGTGACATTTTGTTTTACATATATAAAATTCTAGTTGGTACATTGTACTAACTAGATATTTAATTAATATTTCAATATCAGAATTCAGAGCGATATTCAATTGTATATTACTTAAGAATATACGATCAAATGTCGTTCTGAATCTTGATCATTATTTAAACTAATATTTTTTTGTTTTACGTATGTAAAATTCTAGTTGGTATCATTTAGATACTAACTAGATTTGATTTATTATATAATATAATAGATAAATAAAAATAAATAAAATATATTAATCAATGTAATATACAAAAGTTTGACTACAATCTTTCGCTAAATGATTATCTCCATTACAACGCCAACATTTATAGTTATCACAATCTTTAGCGAAATGACCTGCTTCTTTACAACGCCAACAATTTTTATCTCGTATAATATCTTTCTTGAATTTTCTTGTTTGTTGCTCATTTATAAATAAAATATATTCATCTTTATTTACTACCCCTAAACAATTATGTTCAACGTTATTAATATCATCTGTCCACCATTTACATTTTTGATGTTGTGTATATTGTCCTTTTCTATTTTTTTGACCCGTTGGTGATGTAAATCCACAGATAAATACACATTCACAACTTGATGCTATCTTTTTACAAGCAGCACAACACCGATGACTATAAGTTGTTCCACAATTCCAACAAATGCCACCATTCATAGAATAATCAAATACATGAAATGTATCAATATTATTTATTTCATTAACTTTCAAAAAAAACTCTTGTCTATCTACATTTGGATTGTCTCGTAAATATTGATTAATCGTGATAAAATCTTTTTCATATTCAGATTCCTCATCCCAAATGTTATTTTCAATATCAATTAAATTTTCATTTGGTTGTGAAATTTGTAAATATGTTTGGTTTATAGCATTTAAAAGTTGGCAGATCAAGACAATAATTCCAGATAAAATGTTTGCAATCGTAGAATCAATCATCTTGTTTTTTACGTCTAAAAAATCCTACTCTGTAAAAAAATTACTGAGTAGGAGATACTGGAATATATATAGGTGATGTAGGACCTATTTGAGGAGATTTCAAATGATATTCTTCAACCTCATCGATTCTTTCATCAAGCATTTTTTCAATTTCATTTATTACAACAACTTCATCTTTCTTTTTCTTCTTTTTTCTTTTTAAGACCTTCTGTTTGAATTCTTGTAAAAGAATTACTTCATTCTTGTAAATAGCTATAGTTGATGGATTAAAACTTTTAACCCAAAAAAAAATATCATAATCAAGTTTTAAATTACGAAAAAGTTTTTTAAGTCTCATTAATGATCCTTTTCTGTTCAAATTTCCTAAACGTTCATTTTCTGGTAAAGTTTTATCAACACTCTGAAGAAGTTTAAAATATTCAAGACGTTGTCCAAATAGACAAAAACGATTATTATGTCCTTTATCATATTGCCAAAGATTTGGATAAAATTCTTTCTGTCCTTTACATTTACATTTAAAAAATTCAAAATAAGGAATATGTTCTGAATCTTTTAACATATCAAATTTTTCATTTTTTTTTTTTTTTTCTCTTATATTTGATAACATATGATCGATCAAAATCTATATCTCGCCATGATATATTATTTAAAACAATGAATGATTCATGGAATAATTTCTGTTTAATAGATGAAAATCTGACGTAGTGAGTAACAACGTCTCTTTCCATCTTGAAGAAATAATTTTTTTATAATTATTTCTTCTGAAAGCTGACTCCAAGAGTAGTGCTTTCGGTATCAAATCCTGAGATTCGATGCTTTAACTCAAAGACAAATTTCAAGCCTTTTTATAGATAAAATTTACTCATGATTTTTAAATCTAAGTCTTGTAAAATTCATCTCGTAAAATAATATAAATTACTTTTTTTAAATTATAAATTTAAAGCAAAATCTGTAATTTAATTTTCTGTCTACGTTAGGATAAATCTAAATTGCTGTATAAATTTAAAGCAAAGTCTACCTTTGGTTAATCTGGAATTTGTTCTAAATTAGAAACTTTTTTACTGTATAAATTTAAAGTAAAGTCTACTCTTTGTTAATCTGTATAAATTTAAAGTAAAGTCTACATTTGGTTAATCTTTAGAATTACATATAAATGTAAAGCAAAGTCTACCTTTGGTTAATCTATCTCATAAGAATTTGTTTTAAATTTGGAAATCTGTTTATGTCTACATTAGGATAAATTCAATTTACTACATATAGAAAGATTAACATTAAATAATTTTAAAATATAATTGAGTTTTTCCGTGTTAAAAAAAAATATATAAATTATTAATGAACTTAAAAAATTTTACAAATTCTTTAAACAAAATGAGAAACTTTCATGAGATTCGAAATTATTTTCATTCTAATTTAAATAATATGAGACTTGTTTGCAATATATGTGAAGCTTCTTATGAATTAGATACTCAAGTTACAAATCTTAAAACTCATTTCAAAAATCATCATAAAAATGAATATCAAAAGATTCTAGAAAAAGAAAAAGAGAAACAAAAAGAAATTAAAAAACAAAAAAGATTAAGAATTGAACAAGATTTGAGAACTGAACAAAATATTACAAAATATTATCCTTCAACACAAGTTGAAAA